TGATTACAAAAGACAAATAAAATAAGACACACTAAAATTAAAATACACTGAAATTCATCAAAAGAAAGAAATAAAAATTAGAAAATATTTTGTTGTACAAAGACATAATTCAATATTAAACACTTACGTTGGGTACAGTACATTCCAGTATAGCATTCAGCACAAGCACAGCTCCAATCTGTACAAGAACCAGGAACAGGAACACATGTTGCACCATTCTGACAGAAACTGTTGGCACAAGGATCTTGCACTGAAGATGAAAAACAACAACAATTTTACCTTCATATTATGTCAACAAATAACATCATAACAAGCTTTGACAATGCACTGTCCCATACCCTGTATTGAATATTTAAAGGTATCACTAGCAGTGGTTCACTATTGTGGGTGTACTTTTGGCTAAAGTGATGCAAGTAATTAAAAGGATATTTGGTTGAATCACTAAATAATGTATTGGGCAACCAAAACCCATTATGTAAAATCAAAATACTAAATTAAGAATTGAATTATGCAAGCAATCTCAGAAAAACAGTTTTTAAAGCGACAAGTTTGTATCAAATTGCAAACTAAGTTACAGTGCATAATATGTCTCTCAATAGATTGTATGTTTAAATCAATGATTACAAGAAACAAAGATCTGGTGTATAGATGAATATTAGAAGTACAAAATGGCTACCAGTCAGCCATATTTGTTTGAATCATACGGAAAACAATTTATCAAAATTGCTTTAATCATCTCTAAGAAACATCTGAGTGAGGTTTTATTTAATTAGTGAAACTATCTTCAACATTTTGTAGTTAGCTTCATAATAAATCTATAGAAGCTAAATAAATGTCAACCATGAAAATTAAAGTCTCAAACAGCAAACCATTGATAAATTATTAGGTTCTGGATGACTTACATGTCGAACAATACTGTCCAATATAGCAAGTAGGACATGTACACTGATACGTATCACAGGATCCTGGGATAGCAACACAAGTACCTCCATTCTGACATTGATGGTTGTCACATGCATTCAATACTGAAAGATTTAAAGTTTTAGCAATTATGAATTTCAAATTGATTTACTATATCTGCTACAGCTATGACTAACAGAAATTAGTGTGAACCAATCATCAATTCAAAGTATATGTAATAAAAAGTTCAGGTTTTATATTGACAATATGAAATAAAATAAATATATACTAAATGAAAAATGACACAATGATATAATTTACACTCACATGTTGTGCAATATTGTCCAGTATAACATCCACTGCATGTACAGGTATAGTCAGTACAAGATCCAGGTACAGCTACACAGAAACCACCATTCTGACATTGAGAATTCTGGCATGGATTCAATACTGTGAAATGAAAATACAAACTTAATTAACAAATAATGCTCATTGATATCTTGTAATATATGTAGAACTGATTTCATAGTACATGTATATGTGCGGGTATATCTGGGGATGGTAGGGTGTGTGAGGGTGGCAGTGGGTTGTGTGGGGGGATGCATGATGGTGGTAATGAAATTAATTTCTCCCAGAAAATCTTAATAACAGTGACATTGATTGAAATTGACTTACATGTTGTACAATATTGTCCAGTATAACATCCAGTACATGTACAGGTATAGTCAGTACAGGATCCTGCCACAGGAACACAGAAACCACCATTCTGACACTGGGAATTCTGACATGCATTTATTTCTAGAAATAAAAAAAATACATGAATACATGTTCTTTTTCCCTGATGTTCCTAATTCTGATCTGTACTCACCATTTCAT